TAATTCTTAATTCAAAGAAATTCAAACCGGTTGAGCTACTCCATTCGCCTTAAATTCAAGTAATTCTTTATGATTGTCATAAAATAAGATTAGAGATGCAGATAAAATAAAAATTATAAGAGTTAAGGTCAAAGACAACCGAGGAATTTTTTCAAGCTTTGATAAAGTACATTTTAGGCAGCCCCATATGTTCCATGACTAAATAAATTATTAAAAAAACGCATAATAGATGATGTATGTGTTCTACTACATCCCAGAAACATTTCAAAGCATCCAGAAGGTCAAACGATGATATGAAATCGTAATAGACTTTCACGATAAAAAGTAAATAGTAAAATCAAAAGCCCCAACCACACAGTATTTGGGAAGTCAATTTCAACTTTTAAAGTAAATAAATATAATAAAAATATGATATATTATTTTATCGTTTTTCATGTTTGATATATTTGATAGTGATGTATAATTGATAGTGATATAACAAGATGTGTAGTATATAAAATTACAACATTAATTGTTTTTTATAAATATTTTTAATTTATAAATTAAAAAACAATACAAAAATTTAAAATATATGTTAAAAAATTCAATAACATAACTCATACTAATAATTATTCACACTTATAAACATATTCAAATATTCAAAAGAATTTCAATTTAAATTAAAAGTCGTACAGACAAGCATCTTTTATATTTTTTATATTTTTTATTTTTTTACCTTTCATTGAAGAAATAAAACATATATATATATATATATATATATATATATATATATATATATATATATATATATATATATATATATATATATATATATATATATATATATATATATATATATATATACCGGTCTATCAGATCTATATCAGTACATAATTCAATAATTATCTTTATTTTTTAGACATATTTAAATTGTATATTGTTTGATATAGATATATAAATAATTTTAACTATTTAAAAAAATATAAATACAATATGTATGAATAATTTTAATTTTAATGTTAAACTTAATTTTTAAATATTATAAATTCTAATATATTTGTTATTTAATATAATATAAGAAAAACTTTGTTCATTTGCATTTAATCGTCAGAATCAATATTCCACTTATTTACTTTTAAAATATAATATTCTAACATTAAATTACTAGATTAAAATAAATAAATAAATAATTTTGAAAAATAAATTAATAGTTTATGTTCTTTATAATATTCATCTAGTTTTTAATGAAACTCATATCTTAAATAAAAATTTAAACTAAACAAATATGATAAAGATAAATTTTTAAATTATTTTTTAATATTATTATACCATTTCATCAAATTCTAGAATATAATATAGTATAACTATAATATATGATTTAAAAAAAATTTAATCTTAAAAAATTCATTTGTCTTTTATTCAGTATATTAAACGGTCTTTCAATATATTAGACTGACTTAATAATTTCTTTTATAAAATATCAATCGTATATATACAAAGAAGTATTCAATTATATGAATAAATTGTAAAAAAAAATAGCAGACAAATAAATAATAAATTGTGCTATCTTTTTTAATTGATGTAAATTAATTTTTTAAATGTTATATTTATTGTTTTAAAAAACACAAAATTAATATGCATACATATTTGCTTTTGTTATAAAAAAAGTTAATTACTTTTGATGTTAAAAAATTAACAATATCAAAAATAAATAAAAAGAAAATAATTGAGAGACGGTTTTATATTCGTTTATATTTATAGAGAATTAAGTATTTTTAAAAAATAAAATAAAAATAAAAAAATGTTTATGATGAAATAAGTTAGTCATGAAACCTGCCTTATTTAAAGTTTGTTTTTACCAGGCCTATTTAATAAAGAAGTTAAACTTAAATTTTTAAAAAATATATTTAATTAACAAGATTAGATTAAGACTATTAAAAAAGTTTATGAAATGTTATAGATTAATTTTCTAGTGTTTTATTTGGTAAGGTCTTATATTGGGACGTTTCTCGCTTGATTATAGGGTCGTCCATACGTAATTTAACGGGGTCGTTCTTGCGGTCTATCTTATTTGGAGGTTCAATGAGAAAAAGTCATCACTGACTCTAGAGATATAGTTAGTCAACAACCCCCTTAAAAAGATGAAGCAAACGAGATTACGTGGAAGAAATCAACAACCCCCTTAAATAACTCATCCCTCAAAGGGAATGGAAGATCATGTCATGTTCACTAAATACCACCCATACTGCTCAGTGAGCGCTTCGCTCCCAACAATTCCAACACTGATAATCTAATTGTCTGCCTGCAAATCTAGCAGCGCCGACCACCAGCAAGACCTCTCACCTCACGTGAGTCGGTGTCCAAAACAACCTCAAAAACTACCGTACATGGCTACTTGCGATCGTGAGCTAGCCTCACCATATCAGTGTAATATATCTACTAGAGTCTCTGAGTCTCTCTGCCCTTGCAAGGGAACAAACACATACCCTATATTTTTTTGGACAGTACAATGGTGTCCATCATGGAGCCCGACAAAACTAACTTAGACCACATCTCCTTTTTACAAATATCACCTTTTCTGTCGTACTCTCACCTTCAGTACCTAGCTATTACTAGTCATGGTGAATATAAGAGCTCGATCCCTCACTCCTGAGGGTCCCAGCGGCACAGGTGAGGATAAAGCCTTGGCGAAGATGCGAGCTGTCATGGATGAATTACGACGCCATAACTAGACGTTGGAGGTTGACATCCAGAACATTAGTAACGATGGTAGGAGGCTAATCCCTAGGAAGAGAGGGAACTTCTAGATTCCCAACCTCTCTCAGACGAAAATGGGCTCCCTATTCCTGAAGGTTTCAAACTTATGTCCTTGGCCAAATTTGATTGACACATCGACCATTATGAACATGTTGCCTCCATCAACACGCAGATGGCCATCATATGAGCATCTGCCTCTCTAAAGTGTAAGTTGTTGTCAGACACTTTTAGGGAGGCATTCCTTTGATGGTACATGGGTCTCCCTCGTGCCTTTATTAACAACTACCAGAAATTGGTGAGAAAGGTGGTGCAATAGTTCGTCATCAGTTGCCATGGAAAGATATTCACCATTAGCTTATTCAACATCCGCCAGGGTCCATTGGAGTCGCTGATGGACTATCTCACTCGTTCAATGAAGGCACAATCAAGGTAGTCCCTCCGAGCCAAGAGATGTTCGTGGAAGCGTTCCAAAACGAGCTCAAGGCAGGACACATTAACGAATCCCTCACCCAAAAGTTGGCGTTCTCGCTGGTCAAAGTTATTGCTAGGGCAGAATGTTACATTAGAGACGAGAAAAAAAGCACTGGAAATAAATCTGTGACGCTGAAAAGAAGGCTCACGACGCCAAGAAGCGTGTCACCAGTGCCAAAACCTCTCATCCCTCAAAGAAGAATAGCTACACCTTTCTCGTGAAGGGAAAATCCTTGTTCAAGAGGGCGGAGAAGGTGATCAAGAATTTCATGCCTTTGAACACCCTCCGTGAACAGATTTTGACGTGAGGTGTTCCACCTACATAATATCCCAACACCACCTGCCCCCAAGTTCGAGATAATGGGATCCAAGCCCGACAAATGGTGTAAATTTCACAGGGTCAAAGGATATCACACCGATGACTACTACCAATTAAACAAGGAAATTGAAAAGTTGATACAAGATGGCCACCTCAAGAAATACGTAAAGGGAGGCCCCACCAACAAGGCGAAACGACGCAACCCGCGAGAGCGAGAAGACACCAGAAACCTAGGGTCGGGAAAGGTCAAAGGAACTTCTCGGGACGAAGGTGACCAAGTTGTGTGTCACACTCTCAACACTTTATCCGGAGGATTCGTCGGGAGCAGCGAGACCAGCTCCGCTCATAAAAGGTACGTCTGTCAAATCCTGAGTATAGACAGTCTGCCAGAGATCACAAGGCAAAAGGTGCCAAAATTCGTGGTTGTCTTCTTAGAAGAAGATGCGTCTGACGTCTATCCTCAAAACGACGATCCCATGATCATCACTGTCAATACGAAGAATGGGTGATTAAAAGGGTTCTAGTCGACCAGGGAAGCTTCGCCGATATACTGTATTGGGACGCTTTTAAGAGATTGCGACCCCGAGGATCTAAAGCCCTTCCAGGGATCACTGGTGGGATTCTCGGAGGAACATGTATAAGTGAAAGGCTACCTCACCCTCAAGATCAATTTTGGAGAACAAGACCACTCCCAAAAAAATAAAGGTTAAGTTCTTAGTCATTGACACCTTGTCCTCATATAATATGATTATTAAGCGACAAGCCTTTAACTTATTGGGAGTTGCTTTGTCTCCCATATATTTATGTATGAAATACTCTCTCTCGAATAAACGAGCTGAAGTTATTAGAGGAGATAAGAAAATTACCAAAATAAATAAGAATAATTATTATGCATTGTTATTGTAAAAAAATTAATTCATCACTATCCGTTTATATTAACAGTATTTTTATGTCTCTATAAAATATTTTTATATTAACAGTATTTTTATATTAACAGTATTTTTATATTAAATTAAAAAAAACAAATATTATGCAAAAAGGCCTTAATTGAAGTCTAACATATTCCTATACCTGAATCGTAAAGTTGGCCGGAAGAAAAAGCAGAAAAAAAGACGGAACTAAACTAAGTATATTCGAAGAAAGAGGAAACCCAAATTAAAAGCCAACGAGAATTGAGCGCCGACCCTACGTACATACATTCATTGACACAAATTGAACGCAACTATTAAAACAAACGGAAGGTTGTACATTGCTGACCTAATCCTACACTTGGTACACACGCTTCCCCAATTTTTAGGATTATTCTATTATTATTATTTATGCCCTTTTTCTCCGTCACGTTCACATATATAAAAGCTTACAAACCCCATTCTCCCATTCACAATTCTCATTCTCCAATTTTGCTCCGTCTCCATTCTTTTCTGTTGGAAGCGGGGCATCTCCTTATTCATCAATTCTTGCTTTTCTTCTCAATATGGCCCCCAACAGATGGATTAGACCCGAGGTACATACATACTTCAACATTCATTATCTAACCGTTCCAATCATATGGTAACTATTTAGATATGTGATTTGATGATATCAAACTGTGTTTTGTGTTGTGTGATGTGAATAGGTATACCCACTTTTCGTGCCCGTTGGTATGGCTGTTGGCCTCTGCGCTATGCAACTTGTTCGAAACATAACCACTAATCCTGAAGTCAGGTATGCATATTTCACTATCTTTCTTCAAATCATGTCCCATCTCTACTCAAATTTTAATTTTGAGGTATTTATGATCTGTAATTGAATTCTTATATTGATGATTGTTTCAGGGTAACCAAAGAGAACAGAGCTGCAGGAATTCTTGACAATGAATCGGAGGGTGAGAAATATTCACAACATTTTGTGAGGAAGTTTGTCCGCGGCAAGAGCCCTGAGATTATGCCGTCCCTCAATGGCTTCTTCTCCAATCCAAACTAAGTAAAACAGATGCCATGCTCTGTATACCAGAAAATTTAATTTCTTGTTATTTTGAATTGAGAAGTAGGACAAAGGGATTTGATTTTTCAGATGAAGGATATATTTTGATTGTGTAATTTCTTGTTGGATGACATTCAATTTGTCTCAAAGAGTACAAAATTTTACTTACAATTGTTGGTGTTCTTTCAATTTTCTTTGATATTGTTGGTAAAAATGTTCTTGCACTGCAATAATGCTCTTCTTAGCCCAACTTGTTAAAAAATTTGGCATACATAATTCATGATACGTCAAAATTAATTTCGATGGGATGCCTTCGCCCTTCTTGTTGTTTCTAAATCTGGGTTCTTCATGACTATTGGTTTGACCTTAAACCACATAGTATACTCCAATCCATAGATTTCTTCTCGGAGTTCAACTAACAAATTGAGATTTTATCATGTACATGACCAACCCACAACTTTCTACTTATAAAGTGTTCAACCTCTACTTTTCTAAACAATGTGGACTTAGAACTCACACTTGTTTCTCAACGTAACTCACACTTGTTTCTTAACAATCTCTCTCTCAAGTGTGAGTCATGCATGTACCACTCTTATCTCGTAATGAGCACTAAAAATGGACAATCCACATGACCACCATGTAGAGTCAGTCCCTTACTACTCGAACTAGGCTCTGATACCATTGATGGTCATTAGGAGGGGAAGCATTCACATTAGGTTAAGAGAGACATCACATATTTACTCAAAATATTAAGGTGATATGTGTATGAGTCATCTTACTTATAAAGTGCTCAACTTTCACTTTTCTAAACAATCGTGGGACCTAAAATTCACACTTATTTCTCAATACAAATGATACTTGTTTCTCAACTCTTTTCCAGGTCCAAGTTGCAGCTTTTATAACAATCTCACAGTTACAAGAAAATAACACTCTTGATTTATAATCACATATTAGACCCACTCAAACAACAACTAAACAAACACAACAATTACTTTAGTATTTCGTTCTCTCAACACTAAAATAATTCTAAGTATATAAGAAGTTTTTAAGAAGAGAGTGGGTAAAAAGGAATTGTAATATTTCATATTTTTTGTGTTTTGAAGTGATCATAAGTCCTCCTTATATAGTAAAAAATTTAGCCATAAAAAGAAAGATTTTTGGATTGGAAGCACTCCATAATCAATTAGAACGCTGTGATAATCAATTATGACCTAATAAGTTAGGGAATAATTTGCTAGGCTTGAAGCCTAATCGATCAAAAGGCCTCTTAATCCATTATAAGGAGAGTTCTCTCCTAATAGATTAGAAAAATATCCGATCAAATTTTTTCTTTATAATTGATTAATTATGCTTCTTAATTGGTTAGTCTTGGACAAAATCATTTTTAAGATAATTTTGAAAACAAAAGAAGTTTTAGAAAAATATTTATGTGTGTGTGCATTACTTTGATACTTTGAGAGCTACTTACACTTATTACAAACTAATCATCTAAAACAAATAAAAGAAACTAAGACATAAGATCACAAGCAAGCTTAGAAACAATTTCAGTTTCTTTGATGTTGTTATTAGAATTTGATACTCTTGTGTCAAACATTAGAATCTTCTTGATTTTTTATTTACTTCAATCCTTTTTTTTTTTCTTAATGATGTTTATGATAGATTTGCTTTATTCTCTTTGTCATCATAAAAACCTCAATTACTTACACAACACATATTTCACATTAAGAAGAAATAAAGAAGAAGAAGGAGAAGAAACACATAAAGTTGTTTAATTAATGTATGTTCGATTTAGAACTTCTAATTCAGTTCTTACGAAAAAGAACCTTTTTTTAGGAAATGACTTAGTAAAAAATTTTGTCAATTGATTAGATGAAGACATATGATCCCTCATAAAATGATGCATAATATTAGTGTGTTTCATATGAGAGTGAAGTATCAAATTCTTAATGATGTTTATGGTGCTAGTGTTGGCACTCTTAATTAGGAAATTTTCAAGATTAATTTCATAATCACTTAACTGTTATTTCATTCATATTAGTTGTGCGCAAAAAATACCTGCAACGACGTATTGTACTTCAGTTGTCGTTAACACGACACTTGCTTGTTTTTTTTCTATGTTAGAAGACAATTAAGTTACCAAGAAAATGACATGTACCACTGGTACTTTTTCATTCCATTTTTAAACTAGAAAAATCTGAATTAGAATACCTAACTAAAGCACAGTGAGTCCCTTTGGAGTATCATAAACCAATAAGTGATGTGCAAGTGATATACCTCACAATACGTTTGACCGCAATTAGGTATGTTTCTTTGTTTTTTTTTCTTCTTGAAAGCATGCACACATAAAAACAAAAATATGATATGCTAACGAGATGCAGTGAGTATGGGTGGAAAATAAGCATGTTTGCCCTGCAAAAAATAGGGCGGGTGGGCATTGTTGAGGACGCTAGCCTAAAATCTCGACCCGTCCCGTAACAAAAGAAGGTGTTAAGGGGAGGGTCCGCAGGCAGTGCACCTTTTAAGTCTAAAAATAGAATATATATATATATATATATATATATATATATATATATATATATATATATATATATATATATATATATATATATATATATATATATATATATATATATATATATATATATATATATATATATATATATATATATATATATATATATATATATATATATATATATATATATATATATATATATATATATATATATATGCCCTCACCCATAAAAGCCCACAAAAAATAGGGTAGATGGGTGCATGCATATTATATTGTACACACCTAAAACCTTGTCCCGCCTTACGAAAAAAGTGTGGGCAAAATGGGCATGCCCGATGGGCCTGGACCGTTTTGCCACATCTAGCAGTGAAATAGATAAGAGAATTGACCACACCTTGATTCACCTCACCCCTCTTAGGTTGCATCTCATAGTTACAATTAGCATCGGAGTAGGTTAACGTAACTTTCTCCTTGTTCCAGGTGGATATGGCTTCCACAATATCGTTCTTAATAGATGGTGGTAGTAGCAATAAACCTCCACGTTTCATTGATGAATACTAAAACTTGTAGAAAATTCGCATATAAGTGTATTTAGAAGCACAAGGCGATGAAATATGAGAGGCTGTTCAAAATGGTCGATACATTCCTACAACTCTCATAAAAAAAGTTGAACAACCAAAGGTGAAAGGCTCTTAGAATGATGACGACAAGAATAAAGTGTTATTTGGTAAGAAGGAAAAAATATACTTACATTCACCTTGGGAATGGATGAATTTTTATGAGTATCAAATTATAAAACAACCAAGGGGATTTGGGACACAAGAGGAAGTAAAAAGATCCAAACTGAATACTTCATCTCAAGAATATGAATTGCTCAAAGTGCCACCCTATGAAAGTATTATTGATTTGCAAAATAGATTTAAACACTTGACAAACCATTTTATGGATCTTGGGAAAACATTCACAAATTATGATTTAAATCATGTTCACATTAGTTGTTATAACAAATCGGTACAATTTCTTGCTCCTAATGATAAGGAGGAAGCTGATTAATTATCTACTAGGCAGTTGGAAGAGCTTTTGCAAGATGAAGCTCAGGTGCATGCGTTGTTCGCGTCTTTATCTGTTGAAAGTTAAACTGCAATTGATGAATTAACGATAGTGTTTGATTTTCTATATGTGTTTTCGAATGATACTTTAGATGTTCCGCCATACAGAGAGAGAGAGAGAGAGAGAGAGAGAGAGAGAGAGAGAGAGAGAGAGAGAGAGAGAGAGAGGTATAGTTCTCTATTGACCTTGTCCTTGGTACTATACATGTTTCTATGGCACCATACAGGATGTCAGCGTCTGAATTAGCAGAATTGAAAAATTAATTAGAAGATTTACTGGAAAAAAATTGTGAGACCAAGTGTGTCACCATAGGGAGCTCCAGTGTTGTTAGTAAAGAAGAAAGATGGTAGTATGAGATTGTGTATGGATTACCGGCAACTGAATACAGTAACGATCAAGAACAAGTATCTACTTCCAAGAATAGATGATTTGATGGATCAACTGGTGGGTGCGCGTGTTTTCAACAAAATTGACTTAAGATCGGTGTCGCTACTCGAAAAATACATCACGCAACGACGGGGAGGCGAAAAAGAAAGGACAGAAGAGTCGCCACCGAACTTTATTTATCCCATGAGGGGAAAGGAAAATATCGAGAAAACCTTAAGAAAGAAATGGATAAGATGGTCTCGCAACCAAGAACGATTTCGGAAGCCGGTTATGCGAGGGGAAGGTATTAGCACCCCTCGCATCCATCGTACTCGATGGGAACCATTTGTTTGTCGACGTGTGAATTTATTTGCTTAAATATTATGCTATAAAAGAGTTTTCTTAGGGATAGGGAGAAAAGGGTTAGAAATAGGAGAGAGAGAGGTAACGAGGAAAAAGAGAGAAAGAACAGACTCGGTAGGACTTCGCGGTCCTAGGCCTACGTATTCTCAAAAGGTATGAGAAAGTCAGAGTCGACGTAGTTCGTGGAACTACAGATATAGGGGGGAATGTGCTCGACAAGGATTGTGGCCCTTGTGCCTACGTATCTTTACTTAAAAGAAGTAAAGAATCAGAGCAGCCGTAGTTTAGCCTACGGTGTGTGGGAAAATGGGGTGTACTGGTAGACAATGCTATCATGCGTATTTTAGCAGTTTAGGTGTATTGTTGCTCGCATGTGAGGAGACTTAGGCGTTACCTGTTTGCGGTAGAACGAACGTAGCATGCCTTTCTGGGAAAGGGTGGAAAAGAGAAAAAAGGGTGCTCGCTAGGACCATCGCAATCCTATGCCTACGTATTCTCAATATGCAAGAGAAATCAGAGCAACGTAGTTCGTGCTACTACGGGTAACTGGTGTTTTTATGGATGATGTTATCGTGCGTATTCTAGTAGTCTAGGTGTTTTGCTGCTCGCATGTGAGGAGACTTATGCGTTACCTGTTTGCGGTAGA